ATATATATATATATATATATAACCTACATGGTTTCTTTATTTGTTTTTAACAGCAGAATTAATATTTATCCATTTACGGATAAATATATATAAACCGCTGTGCCGTGCTGCTCATATTAATCACGCAGTAAAAAAACAAAACCGGTTGCCTGTGGATGAGAATCCAAAACAAGGACAGGTGGGAGGTTGTCCTGCTCCACTTCACAGTTGCCGAGTGAAAGGAGAGTTTTATAATGACAGGACACACATTTATACAACACTTATTCAAAAGGAAGAGCCGTTCGTTCTGCGCATCATACGTCATTACGCTATTTCTGCGTCATTGCACATGATCGAGTGTTTACATGCACTCTCAATCGTATTAGAAAAGGAACAAACCACCCCCTTCTATCCGATCGAAATTTCATTGTCGAGCTCAATCGGATCGATTAAGGTGCTTACATGAAGGCTTTTCAGTCCGACTGAGCCATCAATCCGATTACAAACGGATTATTTGGTTGCATGTAAACGTAGCAACAGAGAGGATTCACGAGCACATTGCTCAACGCTACAAAAACACGTTGGAAATACAAACTTTTGACGTTCTCCAGAGCTCAAACACAAATATGCACAGGAGCGTTTACCAAATCTATTTCACCAATATCCTATTACATTTTCAACTTAGGGTGCGGAGTTGGTGCTAAAGTAAACTCAAGACCAGACACTGAGTGAGTGCAGAGGTGGTGGTTATATGTGGGAATAATTAATGGGTGACAGGTGAACCGGGTTAATACTCAGGTGATTGGGACCATGCTGGAGTGGTGATTGGATCTGGCGGGACAGGCGTCTCTCTGACAGCAGTCTCCGGGATTGCAGAATCATACTAATTTGTATTAGGGGCTTCTGTTGTCATATTATAGCAAACTAAACCTATTTGTTTTACAACAAACTTTTAAATCACGGCATTATGATGAAAAATAATCTTGAAATTTAAAGTAATGATGAGGGGAAACTAATATTGCCCCAAGTAAAGGTACTAAAACTACTTGCAAAACGTGATGTTTGATGGTTTAAACTCTTCTATTAATGGCTTTGAAGGCCAGCCTGAAGTGCTGCACTAAGATAAGGGATCACTGCATGAGGGTGTGTAAGGCAACGGATTGGTGGATACTCATGATAGAGGCTGGGTGTCTCCCTCCTGCCCTCACTGCACATTAAGATAAGCTCCTACTCCTCAAACACCCAAAACTACAGAGCTGAATGACCACATTGTTGCTGCTCTAATACCGGAAAACACTTTCATGGATGGCTGAGCAAATTTGTAAGTGCTCTATCTATTCATTGTCATTTTTGTCTCTTTTTATTTCTATTTTATTTTATATTGTAATGTTTTTATACAGTGAAAAGAGCTTAGAGGAAGACAGGGGAGATGAAGGCAAGAAGACAAAGAAACACAAGGGCCAAACATGGGCTAAAGAGGGGCCACAAGACCCTTTTGAAATGGTAACTGATAATCTATATGCGTGATATTTTTTATGAGAAGTATGAGTATATTTACCTGTTTCTTATCAGTTGAATTTGTTCCCAGCTGGACTCTCTTTCTGAGGAGAAGCAACAAGAGATTCAGAAAGCCCTACACCTGTTTTCTTTTGGTCATGGGCCTCCAAAGAACCTACAAGAGGCTCTGAGACACACATACTGCTTTTGGGATACTCAGCCAGTCCCTAAGATAGGTATGATGCACAGTGCACAGGTAGAAACAACATGTAGAAACTGTGTGCATGTCTAACAAACGGCATTCATTCTTTTTTAGATGAGAAAGTGACATCACACGGACCAGTAGAGTCAGAGAGGCCCAGTGTTCGAGAAGAGCCACTCTCACTGCCACAGGAATTCATTTGGGACACACTCAACCTCGACAACCAAGAGCAGGTGAGTGAGAGGTCTTTGTGAACCAATGCAGTCCCAAAATTATTTATTGTACAAGAGTGAACAAAAATATCCTTAAAATCCAGTGATGGACAACATACACAAATACTACTTTTGCTATGGCTTAATTAAATATTACTATAATAAAAGTTTAAGTACTCCTTTTAAGTACTCCTTTTAGAATGTTATTTGCACTTAATTAAAATGTATTATAGTTTAAATATATAGTAAATGCAATTAGTTGAAATTAAAAGTGCTTTTTGGATTTTAGCCCAATGTATATTTATATGTAATTTCATAATTATTTTTATTGCAATTATTCATAATATACTGTTATTGCTGTACTATACTGAAAATTGACTGTTTACTATTGTCATTTTGCATTATTGACACTATTTTCCTATTTAATGCTGTAAAGTTGCTTTGACACAATCTGTATTGTTAAAAGCGCTATATAAATAAAGGTAACTTGACTACTAAGTACATGTAATGTGTAATAAGGACACTCTAAAATAAAGTGTTAAAGTATACTTTTAAGCACACCAAGTAATTGATTTAAGTGCACTTTTTACAAGTGTACCTTTTATTATGTTTTTGCTATCTGATATACATCCCCATGCTCAAAAAACCTATTTAGAGGGGCCCAGATAGAGGGGTCTAATGTCCCAACAGTCACACATACTAAGCCGTGGCTCTACGTGTCAAAATTTAGTATTGACTAGTCAAAATATGAATTCCAGATATCTATTCTGCAGTTTTGACTCATAATTGGCATCAACCAACCCCTTAAGAGGTTTTTTTTTTTATTATTAGATTTTTTTCTTGTCCACTACAATGGACTACGGAAGAGGATTAGGGCCAAGCAGTAATAAAAAATAAAACCTTCTCGAGAATAAAGTCATTATAATACGAGATTAAACTTGTTAAATTTCGAGAAAAAAGTCGAAATAAAATGCAGAGAATAAACACACTCGGGCCATGTTCATTTGATCTAAATGGACAGTGTTAATCAGCGTCTGCAGTGGCGCCGGTTGTAGAGCGTATGGATGAAGCATATGATGAGGTCGACCAGAGTTCGTATTCGCCTTTTGCCGAACTCGCCCTTCTTCCTTTTTTCATCACATATCACATCGGAAAAGTGGAAATCAATTATTAAACACTCGTTAGGCAATGATGTATTAATTGGGTAGGTTTAGGTGTAGGTAGGCTATAGGTGTGTTGGCTTTGTTGTCAGGGTGTCCGCGTGTCCTTAAAAAGTCTTAAATAACGTTTTCCTAATATAAGGCCTTAAAAAGTCTTAAAATGTCTTAAATTCAGATTCGATGGGTCTTAAATAGGTTTGGTCTCATTACCGCTAAAATATCTTCAGTCTGACGGACCTAATGACTGTTTACAATCATTGGACAGACCGAAGATTTTTTCTTCCCCGCGCGGTAAGTTGCTGCGTCATCAGAGAGAATTGCAGTAAGTAGCAGAATACAGAATACAAGGTCGCGCTGAGGCTCACTCTGTTTGTCTCAAGACTTCAGAACAAATGAGCTTGACAGCACACATAAACTCAGAAGAAACACACTGAGGTAAAAATTCAAAATGTTTAGTTTATTCATAAAATGTGTATTTCCATTACAGGTTTAGGTCTTAAATTTCATATAAGGTGGTATTAAAAAGGTCTTAAAAAGTCTTAAATTTAACTTGTTCATGTCTGCAGAAACCCTGGTTGTACCAATAAGGCAGCGTCTATTTAATAATTGTAATAAAGAAAATCATTTACACTCCATGGCGGTCATTACAAATCATTACACTGATATTATTGCATCCTGTTAATGTACAACAATAGTGAGGTGCAAACAATATCTGTCACTATAAGTATAAATGGCATCTAATTACCATTTACACTTATTGCAAAGATCTGCTATTTTCAATTAGTGTAAATAGCACATCGCTAAAAATGCTGCTGTTGTCACTTAGTGTAAATAGAATATATCACTATTTTTCACTTAGTGTAAATAGCATCTACTTTCACTTAGTGTAAATAGCATCCAATGTGATATGTAATGAAAAAAGGAAGAAGAGAGAGTTTGGCAAAAGGCAGATTCGAACTCTGGTCGATCGCATCATATACTTCATCCACGAGCATCACTCTCTATGCCCTTCGCCACTGCAGACGCTGACTAACGCTGTCCAACGAGATAAAATGAACATGACATGAGTGTGTTTATTCTCAGCTTTTATTTCGACTTTATTCTTGTAATTTAATTAGTTTATTCTCAACATTTCATTTCAACTTTTTTTCTCTAAATGTAACGAGTTTTTTCTCGAAACCACTTTTTTTCTCTTAATTTAATTAGTTTATTCTCAACATTTAATTTCGACTTTTTTCTCGAAATTTAATGATTTTTTTCTTGAAACAACAACTTTATTCTCGAAAAATTATGATTTAATTCTCAACATTATATTTCGACATTTTTCTTGAAATTTAACTAGTTTAATCTCACATTATAATGACTTTAATCATGAGATGGTTTTATTTTTTGATTATTTATTCCGTAAATGGACACTAGGACTGAAGCAACATAAAATTCCTCCTATTTTACCCATTTATGAACTAAAATTAAAAAATATACATTATGTGAACTCATCTTGAAGAAGACACACTGTAACAATGAGGAATTCTAAAAATGAAGTCTCAAAAAAAAAGCTAGTTTGATTTTTCTTTTTTTTTACCTTGCAGTGTATAAATTTGTGTGTGGGTATTTGTGAGAAATTATGCGTACTTGCTGGTTGATGTGTGTGTATGTGGTGGGTTCCTTTTTATCATCATAAACCTCTTCAATGTCTCTGTAATGCTGTGTGAAACTCTGAGATGAAAACTCAGAGCAGGATCCAGATGCAGTATAAAAAAAATAACCAGGAAACAGAACATCCAAGGACAAGACCTGACAAAAATAAATAAAAATAAATAAAATAAAACACTGGAAACACTGGAGTTTACATACACGTGGGGTTAACAATATAACAAGACACACCTGGGAACAATCAAAAACTAATGAAAAACTAAATGACAGTTTATAGTCACCTTGATGACAAATAAAATCAAATTAATAATGTTAATAACCAATAAATTAAAATTTATTTTATTTATTTAAAATTAATTTACAGTGGCACAGGTCAAACACATCCATCTAGTGTATACAACAACAATTCAAATGCAGCACAGTGGAACATACACACACACACACACACACACACACAGTCCTTGAAGGGATCCTCCATACTTTACACCCTCATGCCATGCCATATGACTTTCTTTTTTCAGATGAACACAAACAAAGGGTTTTTGAAAAAAATGATCCATCTCTCTGTATATAATGGAAGTGTACGGGATGTCCAAAGATTATGCTTTAAAAACTACACAAACTGAAGATAACGGTAATCTTTATGATTGTTGATGAATCGATGTCAAAGTGAAATGACAGCCACGTTAAAGAAAAATACTAATATTTTAAACTTTACCATTGTGTTCACTTTTTTTGTGGTGTTTGAAGTGGTCTCATACACTCGCATTAAACCTTTGTGTTCATCTGATATTGATATATAATTATTTGCAATTGATAGACTGATTAATGATCAAATCATTATTAATCAATAATTATTTAGATTGAAAAATAATTCACTGAGTAAAAATAATTAATTGTAAAATTACTCAAGTATTTTACATCCCTGACAACAGGTGCATGTTAATAAGGCTACTATGATCATAAATTAGCATATAAAAGGCAAAAAAGGAACTCCTCCTCCATCATGGCTTATGCGATGAAGACATGTATTATGTTCTAATCAAGGTATTCAGGATTACTAGAAAGTTACAGGTGAATTTAATCAAGGTTGAAACTAATGTCATTCAAGTCCTCCTGGGAAGTTCGTATTTACAAGTTGACAAGTCGTAATTACGACGTCAGGTGCGTTTAAGTCACTTTGGTCAGAACAAGATGGCGATTTAACTTTTCTACATAAAATAAAAAAATAATAATTTAAAACTCTACATCTATAAAATGATGAATTAAATTATTTATTGTACATGACAATCATTTCAACAAATTTACAGTCAATACAGACACTGCATTTCTATAGTCTTTGGCCCTGTCCCAAATTGCACCTAAAACCCTCGTGGTTTTCCTCTGAGTCCACACTTTCATGACATAATACCGCTTTGACTGTCGGGTGGAAGTATGCTGCGGAGCTTGCCCCAGTGTGGGGCGCAACATATGCAGCGTAGGTTTCCGGTCCGTGTACCTTCTGGGCTGCGTTTCCCAAAACCTTGTTAACGCTACGTTGTTCTTAAGTTATACCTTAAGCTGTACCTTATCGGTAATATGTGTTTCCCGAAACGTTCTTAGTTAAAGCGGTCATATGATGTTGCTAAAAAGAACATTATTTTGTGTATTTGGTGTAATGAAATGTGTTTATGTGGTTTAAGGTTCAAAAAACACATTATTTTCCACATATTGTACATTATTGTTTCTCCTCTATGCCCCGCCTTTCTGAAACACGTAGATTTTTACAAAGCTCATCGGTCTGAAAAGCGAGGTGTGCTCTGATTGGCCAGCTATCAAGTGCGTTGTGATTGGCCAAATACCTCAAGCGTGTGATGGAAATGTTACGCACCTTACCATATTGTGATGCCCTGTCCGGCCGGAGCGACGAGACAAAAACATTAAAAACCCATTATAAATGAGGCATTTGTTGCATCCAGTGGGGACATAATTACGGATTATAATGACTTATACTGTCTTTTTACGCGTTGCGTTGCATTGCGCCGCGTAAACATAAAACCATGTCTGCATTTGTGATCGGAGAAATGACAAACAATAAGTGCTACTCTACACTGCTCAAAACTCGCGTTTGAATCATCAGTGACAAATTCTTTGAATATAAAAAACGTACTTACAGGAAACAGTCCTCCATAAAATGCGCTGGACACATCTGAATATCCCGAAATGACC